TGAGTGAATCAGAGCTGATGGAACTTTATCCCGAACTATCCTGTGCCATGTTAGCCTCTCTAGTTCACAGTCTCCACAAGATGTGTATGCTGACATATGGCTGTGGTTTGCTAAAGTTTCAGCACCTCCAGGTAAGATTCCATACATTTAGACATATGCAAATAATACTCCACTAAATTAGAAATATTTCACCAAACTCTGCTCTTAAATACATTGGTGTAACTCCAAGAGTAACTTTGAATCCACTTATATTTCTCTAGATTTACAACAAGGTAAATCAAAGCAGTATGGCCTGCTGTCTTCCCTTAGACACACAAGCATACTATATAAATCTGTTTAATTTTTTATGTAATTGTCATTGACTTAGTCTACAAAGTGGGGGGGGGGTTTGTGCCTGCGTTATTCTTGACTATTTGAATGGTTGCAAAGCCATACTAAGTGTTTGTATTTTTTCCCTCCTAGGAATAAAAAATTCATTGCTCCAAGGTCCAGGACCAGTCCTTTATTAGAAGCCCTGGACCAGTGCTAAAGAGCACTGCTGGTCTAAAGGATGTGACCATTTTTAAGGTCTAGAGAACCAACAAGACTAGAAATAAATGATGTACACCATGGAAAGTGGGAGATTCCCAAGTTGCCAGTTATGCATTAATTTCTAGCTCTGGTGGTTAACTAGATAGCCTTTAAACTACATAATTTTGATTATATGCTTGTCTTCTCTCTCACTCTTTCTCCCTTCAGTTCTGATCTGGTATCAGTGACTGCTGTCTTGAGAATTCTTACCAGGATGATCAATGTTGTTCTCCAGCAGCATTCAAAAGTTGCTTTTTCATTGATTGCTATCTCTAGCAGTCCTAGAAAATATTGTCTACTAAAAATCAAGCCAGAATTGAAGGGGAAAGGAGGATGATAATTTTTAAGAAGTGATAAATCTAAGAGCTTTAGCCTAATTTAGTATTTTGTTTATAATTGAATGCCAATAATGTATAACTTTATTAGTTTCACAAAAAGTAAATATACATTATTAGTTGTACCTCCATTATCTTCCCCTTTCCCAGCAAAGCCTGGGAGGCTATTTGAGAACTATGATGTTAGTGGCCTGTTCTTTTTGCGGATACAGACTAACACGGCAGCTACTCTGAAAAAGAGTTACAGTTTCCAAGGTCAAGGGGAACACGAAAGACCCAATGAAATTATTGTTCCTGAGAAAAATAAATATCAGGCTTCCTCCTTTCCCCACTCCCTCTCCCACATTATGATATATTTCCTCTTCTTAAATCCCTTGGGCCTTTGTAGCGTCTCTTAACTCATTTTTTTAAAATTGATTTGCTTTCAAGTTGAAGATCCCTTTAGCAAAAAAAAGATTTAAAATTCCTCAGCATAAGATCCTTGTTTCCCACTTGTGTCTTGTAGGGAGCCCCATGCATTGTTAGTACGTAACAGACATATATTGATTACTATAACTCTCTTTTTCAGGCTTGGGAAACGGTGAGACTAGAATACATGGAAGAAGGTCAAAATATTATTTCTACTTACAGAGAAAAACTAATAGACTACTTCACCATGCAGCTAAGGTATTTCAGAACTCCTCAGAACACAAGAAATGTTATAGTCTTTATGGCCATACTAATCTGCCAGGGAGAGGGGGGACACAGAGGAAACACAGGTACTGTAGGCCTGAGAACACAGGAGCAATCTATGGTGGAGGAAACAATACCTTCCTCAGCTTTCATGGACCATTTGGGCACAGAGCCTAGAAATTCAGGCTACGCACAGGGTACAGGGTTTGCCCTTTTGTAAAACTTTTGTTTGCATGAAAACATGTCAGTAAACGAGGGTGTGCTGACCACTCTAAGGATAACTTGGGGACATTTTGTTTTTGTATTACCATGGATTTCATGAGTTTTGTAGATCTGTTAATAATCTGTAATCTGTAAAGAGTCAAAGACAGACTTCGGATCTTTGATTCAAGCTGTAGTTAATAGTTTCATATTATAGACCTCCTTTTCACAAAAAGGGGGTGGGAAATTGCATACACAAGTCAGGTAATTGGTGATATAAGAAGCTAACTGGTTGTTTGTCCATGTAGTTGTATGACTTACTATTTTCCAAATCAAGCCCTATAATTTTAAATGTTAGGAATGGAAAGGGGTTTTATGTTGGTTGCTTTTCTTCCATTAGTCAAGGCAGAGTGACTTGGAGAAGTGCAGATGAACTTCCTTGGCTTTTCCAACAACAAGGCAACAAGCAGAAGCTACACAAGTGTCTCCTGAACCTCTTTGTATCTCAGAATCTTTACAAAAGGTAAGAGAGTAGCCAGGGCCTTCGTATGTACAAACATATTGAAATGGTTTAGTGTTCAGTTGAAGGCATGAAATAAAGTGTCTTTAATGTTTTGTTTTAAAAAATAAATAATAGAAATGATAAAATGCACAAATATGGGAAGAAATTTAACTAGGCCAATATGTAACCCTATAGCAGGGATTGAAAGCTGGCTGAAGGGTGCTAACTGAAAGAGTGGTGAGAAATAGCAAAGTATAAAGTTATATGGCGATATCTCGTAAGGTACCACTTATGGGATACCCGGCCTGGCTGGCTGGTTGCAAAGCACCCAAGGCATGGGAACCAGTGCTGTTCTGTTGCAGCCTATCCCTTTTGTGCACCTCGGTATATCCCGGTGTAGCGTGAACCCTGCTTGTGGGTGCTCTGAACATGGTAGTATGTAGGTGCGCGTAGGGGCGGGGCAGTGAATCCACTGTCATGCAGAGACTTCTGTCCTTCCACTGCTTCACAGTTGGGAGACCAGTAAGGTGCTGCATAGGTCATTCTGACTGTTGGACTACAGTAGCCTTCACAGAGCTGCTTTGCAGCATGAGAGAAAATTCCTGACATGCATATTCCCCATTCCTTGCACCCTGCCATCCAGCAGGGTAGCTGGTTCTGAGCACGGAGATTTGGTGTTCGGTATTTTACTTCTTACTTTTCTTGTTAAAACAGGGGGCATTTTGCAGAATTACTGAGTTACTGGCAGCTTGTCGGAAAAGATAAGAGTTCAATGGCAGCAGAGTATTTTGACTCTCTAAAGCAATATGAGAAAAGCTGTGAGGGAGAGGAAAGTATGATCTGTCTGGCTGATCTTTATGAAACTCTGGGACGATTCTTAAAAGATCTAGGCCTTCTCAGCCAGGTAAGTGCATCTAGGAACAAAGGGAATACCTTGTAACAGCAAGCAAGGAATTTAATCAGAGCATAGTATGTGCTTGATAAGATGTTTTGTGTTGCAGTGTTTTTTGTATATTATCTTACCTGCTCTAGTCACATTCTCAACTCCTTTATTACAGGCAGTTGCTCCTCTGCAGCGTTCTCTGGAAATTCGGGAGACTGCACTGGATCCAGATCACCCCAGGGTAGCACAGTCCCTCCATCAGTTAGCAGGAGTTTATGTGCAGTGGAAGAAGTTCGGAAATGCTGAGCAGTTATATAAGCAGGCTCTGGAAATCTCTGAAAATGCTTATGGGGCTGAACATCCCAGGGTTGCTCGTGAACTGGATGCACTTGCAACATTATACCAGAAACAGAACAAGTAAGGTTAATAGTATTGGTGATTTCCTGGATTTGTCATAACATGCAAGTCTTTTGAGGTTGTTACATTGTCTATTTGTTTCTACGATTACACATTTTAATACATTTAACTTCCTTTTGATGCATGTGCAGAACTGCTATTAATATTAATGAGAACTATCTGTTTGTTTCAAGAGGAGGAGGAGACTTTTTGGGGGGTCTAGAAAAAGATTAGTAAACATATTTGTGTATTATTCAAATATATAGTTATAACAAAGTAATATTTTTTTAAATGCCCTTGTATTGGTACAATTGTCACCCTCGCAAAATAGTTGTGAATACTTACCAACTCAAACACAGGAGGTAGGTGGTATTTATTATTATTTATTTATTTATTAAGAGCAGCAGCATCTACTCACCTATCTTTACCTGGGTTACTGATGATAACAGGGAAAAATATCTTAAGGATATTTTACTTGTCCATCAAAAACAAATTACTAGCCCCAGGCAAATGTGGAGGTAGAATTTACAAGTCTGGTTGAAGATTTCTATGGGTTCTCTGAAGAATAAATGTATCCAAATCCTACTTGTTTTATTTTAACACCATGTCTATGGAGTAGGGAAAATGATTTACCCTTAATACTTAATGCACATGGATTAAGTGACCTTTCCAATGTGAAAGTAAGTCTCTGGTGGAGCCAGGAACAAAACCCAGATCTCCTTAGTCCTAATCCAGTGCCTTAAGGACAAGACCATCCTTCTTCTTCAACACATACTTTAATATACTGAAGATATCCTGACACTTCTTATGAGGCAAATCCTTTCCCAGTGCTCATTGCAAGTAGGCTAGTGATATTGGTGAGGGGAGAAAGGGAAGGAGTCCTCCCCTGGGAAATGTACTTTGGTGTAACACTCATTCAAAAAGTTCCTTGGTACAGTTTGTACTGTTGATTCTGCAGATCAAGCTCCTGTACTTGCATGTAATTCTAGAGGAAACTGCCAAAATTCTCCTCTTTCTTCCTCTGCAAACTACTCTCCAACCAAATCATGGAAAACCAAGACTCTGAGTCCTTACCTTCTCAGTTGCAGAATGCACTCTAGATTTGTGTTCAAACTCACTCCTCTTTCTTGGGGATTTTCTTTTAAGGGCAGTGGCAATAACATAATAGTTCAGCCTAAGTTTCTCCTTCAAACTAGGAAGTTTCTAGCATTGCCTTTAGAGTTTTTGTCTTACTCGCCAGTTCTCTCTATGCAGAAAGCAACTTGCATCTGTTTATATTTGGGGTGGAATTAAGACATAGTCAGCATTTCTATGCAGGTTTCCAACACCCGCTAAGAGGGAGGGGTAACAGAAGAATCTTGCTAACCTGTTAACACTCCTAACGCAGTCATAAGCATTTTGCATACTTCCATCTTTGACAAAACGTGCGATCCTTTCATGTATTTATACCTGCTCCTGTATTTTCCACTTCATGCATCTGATGAAGTGAGTTCTAGCCCATGAAAACTTAGGCCCAGATAAATTTGTCAGTCTCTAAGGTGCCACAAGGACTCCTCGTTGTTTTTGCTGATACAGACTAACACGGCTACTGCTCTGAAACCTGATAGGTAACTTTCAGGGGGACTTGTGCTCTTAGGTCACTTAGGTGGCTTTTTGAAAATCTAACCCAAAATGTATACCGTTGCCATGTATGGTGTCTAACATTTTAAATAACTATTTTCAGATATGAACAAGCTGAACAGCTGAGGAAAAAATCCTTTAAAATGCGACAAAAAGCAGCAAGGCGGAAAGGCAATTTGGTAAAGATTTGATACTTAATCAAAATAGGGGCTAGCTGTGGCTTTGTTGAATGGATGATGAAGTGTGTTTGAGGAGGTGTTCTAAAAATCTGATGCTTAAGTGCTTTTGATAATTGAAAGTTTGCCAGCTTAACCACTTTAGGAGCAGCATTAGTGTCTGCTCTTTCAACCTCACTGGAAATAAAGGTGGATAAGTACAACTGGAATATAGTGGTGAGCGATGGAAAATAAATAAGTGGATATAGAAACCCTCCAAATATCAGACTTTGGGGATTCAGATTTCATGCTGAGACTATACGTTGTTGAAAGGAAACTAGAGAAATTGCTCTGTAGGAGGTAACTGAGGACCTAATTCTACAACACTACAGTGCATAGTGCCTACTACCGTAGATAACAATGTCACAATGGTGACAATGTCAGTAACCACCATACTTAAACCACTACCAAGGATGAAGCCCTAAGAGTGTGCTCCCTCTTTATGGCTTTTCAGTGGGTTTTTTTTACTCTTTTTTCTTCTATTTCTCCTGCCATAAAGCTCCTAGGGGAATTCTAGTTCTAGGCTCAGTCTCTGCCTCATAGAGGAAGAGAAGCACCCACACTACAAGAACTCCGCTAGGAACTATATAGTTGAAGCAACATAAAGAAAAACAATGGAAATGTCACTGTTCCCACCACAGTTATTTAAAGAAAAATAAAATCTGTTCATGAGGATTTCACTTTGTCAACTTTCATAATGATTTCAGTTACACAAACATTTTTTATTAGAACTATTTGTGTGGGCTGGGGGTGTTATCAAAGAGGTCTCTGAAGTATCTGGCCACACTTTTTACTCTCACTCCACATCATTTATGACAAGTATTGCCATACCGAGCCTTCCTATGAAACTTTACAAAACCCTTCAGTAATACTTTTATAATGGTTTTATACATCAGCTTGAATTCCATTTTAAGTTCTTAAGACCTAAGAAATTAATTGAAACAGATTGTTTGGACTGAAAAATTTAAAAAGACTAGAATATATTGTAAAGGGAAGGGAAAACCAGAGCATAGCAGATTGAGAATGTATAGAGACATAAGGGGTAACAAGAAAACATTCTACAAATACATTAGAAGCAAGAGGAAGACCCAAGGACAGGGTAGGCCCGTTACTCAATGGGAGGGGTGGGGGGAAGTAATAACAGAAAATGTGGAAATGGCAGAGGTGCTTAATGACTTCTTTGTTTTGGTTTTCACCAAGAAGGTTGGTGGTGATTGGACGTCTAACATAGTGAATGTCAGTGAAAATGAGGTAGGCTCCGAGGCTAAAATAGGAGAAGAACAAATTACTTAGACAAGTTAGATGTCTTCAAGTCACCAGGGCCTGATTAAATGTATCCTAGAATACTCAAGGACCTGACTGAGGAGATATCTAAGCCATTAGCGATTATCTTTGAAAAGTTGTGGAAGACGGGAGAGATTCCAGAAGACTGGAAAAGGGCAAGTATAGTGCCCATCTATAAAAAGGGAAATAAGGACAACCCGGGAAATTACAGACCAGTCAGCTTAACTTCTGTACCTGGAAAGATAATGGAGCAAATAATTAAGCTATCAATTTGCAAACATCTAGAAGATAAGGTGTTAAGTAACAGTCAGCATGGATTTGTTAAGAACAAATCATGTCAAACCAACCTGATATAGGTTTCTTTGACAGGGTAACAAGCCTTGTGAATAGGGGGGAAGCGGTATACGTGGTATATCTTGACTTTAGAAAAGCTTTTGATACGGTCTCGCATGACCTTCTCATAAACAAACTAGGGAAATGCAACCTAGATGGAGTTACTGTAAGGTAGGTGTATAACTGATTGGAAAACCATTCCCAGAGAGTAGTTATCAGTGGTTCACAGTCATGCTGGAAGGACATAACGAGTGGGGTCCCGCAGGGATCAGTTCTGGGTCTGGTTCTCTTCAATATCTTCATCAATGATTTAGATAATGGTATAGAGAGCACACTTATAAAGTTTGCAGACGATAGCAAGCTGGGAGGTGTTGCAAGTGCTTTGGAGGTTAGGATTAAAATTCAAAATGATCTGGACAAACTGGAGAAATGATCTGAAGTAAATAGGATGAAATTCAGTAAGGACAAATGCAAAGTACTCCACTTAGGAAGGAACAATCAGTTGCACACATACAAAATAGGAAATGACTGCCTAGGAAGGAGTACTGCGGAAAGGGATCTGGGGGTTATAGTGGACCACGAACTAAATATGAGTCAACCGTGTAATGCTGTTGCAAAAAAAGCGAACATCATTCTGGGATGTATTAGCAGGAGTGTTGTAAGCAAGACACGAGAAGTAATTCTTCCACTCTACTCCACACTGATTAGGCCTCAACTGGAGTATTGTGTCCAGTTCTGGATGCCACATTTCAGGAAAGATGGGGATAAATTGGAGAGAGTCCAGAGAAGAGTGACAAAAATGATTAAAAATCTAGAAAACATGACCTAGGAGAGAAGGTTGAAAAAATTGGGTTTGTTTTGTCTGGAAAAGAGAAGACTGAGGGGGGACATGATAACAGTTTTCAAGTATGTAAAAGGTTGTTACAAGGGGGAGGGAGAAAAATTGTTTTTCTTAACCTCTGAGGATAGGAGAAGAAGCAATTGGCTTAAATTGCAGCAAGGGAGGTGTAGGTTGGACATTAGGAAAAACTTCCTAACTGTCAGGGTGGTTAAGCACTGGAATAAATTGCCTAGGGATGTTGTGGAATCTCCATCATAGGAGATTTTTAAGAGCAGGTTAGACAAACACCTGTCAGGAATGGTCTAGCTAATACTTAGTCCTGCCATGATGCAGGGGTCTGAACTAGGTGACTTCTTGAGGTCCCTTCCAGTCCTGTGATTTCATGGAGGCATACTGCGTGTAATTCACTCCCATGCAGAGGACCAACAAAAGGCCTATGCAACCCTTAATTCTCAAAATAGGGCTTACATGGGGTCTATTTGGCGCAAAGGCCTTGTGCTGTCCTTCTGCACAGGAGTGAATTTCAGTCGTAGATATTAAACTTTTGATGCTGATGGACTTTCATTACCTTGTGCTTTGCTTTAGTTTGGATTTGCTCTTCTACGTCAACGAGCCTTGCAGCTGGAAGAGCTCACGTTAGGCAAAGACACACCAGATAATGCTCGAACCCTCAATGAGCTTGGAGTTCTCTATTATCTGCAGAATAATATTGAGTAAGTAATGTTTATGTCACACAGTCATAGATTCCCTCTCTCTTTCTTATATCTAATGAGACACATTATATGGAACCTCATGAAAAATTCCCAGTGATAAGTCTAAACGCTCTCAAATACTAAATACAGTGCAATTTCCAATTTCTTTTACAGTTTTCTATTATGAAATTAACTCATAGTATCTGAAGTCTGCTGTACAGTGAGTGTCATTGGCATCTGGATATTTACCACATCACTGCATTTCCTATTTTAGAACTGATGTACTACTACATTAAATTTAACTATCACTAGTTGTAAATATATGGGGTATTTTTATGTCCTCTCTACCATGGTTCTCTGTTACATCAGACTCCTTTATAAAATTCTCATTCTAACAGCAAGGTTTTTTTTTCTTTTATAGCATTCAAAATGCCAGTACTACAAGGGAAGTAATGAATTGTACATATATATTATAGGTGGATTCCTTGCCCCTGCTCTGATTCCTTTATGATGTGCAAAAGGGCCAGAGCAGCATAAAAAGGCACCAAAAGCCACATAACTGGCCAGGGGAGAATTCCCCTAACACAAGAAAGGCAGAAGACATCTATGAAACTGTCTCCCAAGGACTGCCTCGCAAGCCCCAGTTTAGAGGGTGTGATGCGTCAGGGCCACAGCCCTGCAAGCTCAGCCCACAGGGCAACCTGCAGATATTCTTTAACGTAGGCCCCCCCGAGCTGTGTAAGTTACATTGAGAGCCTCTCAGATACCTGAAGCAGCCCTGAATTGGGAGAATGCCTTAAAGCCACCTTAACTCCTATTCTTTTTTTGCTGTGCCTCTTAGAAGTGCAACACAGAATTTCACCTTAAGTCCTTTTAGATTTTTTTTTTGTATCTGAATGTCAGGATCTCAGTGGCAGAATAAAGAAGTTAAAATACGTTGTGGTTTAGAGTGTTTACATTAATAGCCACTAGTTAGTGCAAAATCCTAGTAATTAGAATTGACTTGTAACAGTTGATGCATGTATGTTATTTCTTGTTTCACCTGTCATGCAGTCAGGCCAAAGTCACTGACGATAAATGACTGATATCTGTAAAATCTGCCATCTGAGATCATTGTATACGCCACAGTCTGTCAGTTCATCTGCAATTTTTTCAGATGCTCCCTATTTCCTGTAGCTCTTTCCCCCCCCGAATTTAATTGGTGAGGAAAATGGCACACTGTCTTCTAGTAAAGATGAAAGTTTGTTATTGCCTTTTGAAACAGAGTACTGTGCTGTAGTTCTGAATCAACCATTAAAGGGGCTTTTTGGATAGTTTGATGCAGCTGAAGAGAATCAATGATAGAAGGGAATTTGTTTGTATCAACTGATAAATGTAAGCCTGATCTGTAGCCGTTATGTAGGGAGAACTCCTTTGGCTCCCACAAGGCGACTCCAGGCTTGAACCCATCTTTTGTGTATTTATGAGTCCTTCTCTCCATCTAATGTGAAACGGATATTTCCAATTTACTAAACTGACCTGTCTCAAGAATAGGGTGACATGGAATGTGTGTGTGTCAGGATGACAAACTACCTAGCTGTAATGGATATTGCATGCAGGGATTCTATGGGGAATCACTTTCTTTTTGTCACAGAGGGAAAATAGTAAATGTGTGATGGAATAATACCACAATAATGTAATAAAATACATAACCGTCTGATAGGATATACACTTGAACAATTACTTCAGAGAAAGCCTTAGGATAGATCTTAATGTGTAAATTATAGCAGCTGAGCCTATTGTATATAAACCTATTTCTTTTACAGTCTTTACAATTGTTTGCAAAGGGAATTCTAACTGCTACTTTCTGAATTTTTACATAGTTCCAGAGTTGTTTACCTGATCCTGCTACTTGTTTCATGAATGTTTACTCCTGGGAGGAGTTACATTGAAGCCAGGGGGATTACTCGCATGAGTAAGGGTTGCTTGTATAAAAAAGGGTACAGATCAGACTCAAAAGGAATATTCACAAGATAATGCAATATAAGAAAAAAAATCTACCCAACTGACCTAAAGTGCTAGCTTTTGGGCAGCTGGTATTAGTGTTCTGAGATTGTATTTGGTGCTCTAGTTAACTCTATAATTACATTCTTTCAATTAGACAACGTACTGTTACCTGTTGTCTGTCTTTTTTGTGTTTGGATATACAGTTACTCACTAAGCCTGTTTAAATGAGTTGCTCTGCTGTATTTGTTTCACTAGAGGCGGCTGAAATGTCTATTAGAATACAATGGCACTTCTGCAGGTACAAAAGTAGCTTTCATGGAATGCACACATTTAATCTTTGGAGTATTGCTGTGTGAATTTGTTTGTAGGACAGCTGAACTTTTTCTGAAGCGCTCCCTAGAAATGAGGGAGCGGGTCCTGGGACCAGACCACTCAGACTGTGCACAGTCTTTGAACAATCTGGCAGCTTTGTACAATGAAAAGAAACACTACGATAAGGCTGAGGAACTGTATGAAAGAGCTTTAGAAATTAGGAGGAGAGCACTAGCCCCTGATCATCCTTCACTGGCTTACACTGTGAAACACCTTGCAGTACTCTACAAAAAGCTGGTAAGTGTGTCTGTGTGTTTCATACATCATTTAAAAATAATAATGTCTTGCTCTTTCCATCCCAAAAGAGGCAGAGTATCAAAAAGAGCTTGGATATCAGCATCCTCCAGAAATGCACACAAAAAAATTAAGTATATAAATTAAAGTTGTCTCTGTTTTTGTGCCCCCTAGGAGCTCTGTGGGACATTTTCCTAAAGAAAAGCTGTTCTTTAATAATGTCTTCAGTGTATTGGGCACCTACAAGCTTTTCCTTTAACTTCATTGAGGCAAATTTATTCAGCCAGTATATTTACCATAAAGGAAACAATTCAGTTAGAAGACAGCATTATGGCTGTTGCCAGGGAATCTCTTCTCCACTTTCCTATTTTGGGTTCCTCTGCATTTGTTCCAGTCAACCCAGATGCAGACACCATATTTTTGGCACTTGAGAATAATTTCTACTAATTTTTACATATGAACCCTGTCAGCCATCTAAGTATTTATAATAGAACTGGCAGCAGCTCTCTGTGTGGGTATCTTGAGCCATTTCTACCTCATTTCAGTTCAGTGAAAAATAAGCAATCACTCTGTTGTAGAATACTCTGATGATAATAGTAATTTATGTTTTCAAAATACCTTATAAATATTAACTGTCAATTGACTGGTCCTATATGAAGGGGAATCCCTGTCTATAGGAATATTGTAATCTGTCCTCAGCCTTGCGGCTAGGCAGAACGTGAACCCTAAAGTTTCCAACTGTTACACTAAGAGTTCAAATGCAGAGTAGAGTGATGGTAGATGAGTGTTTCTTTCTGCACTCTTGCATTTTGCCATTCTTCTAAGTTGGAAGAATCCTGTAAACTTATTTCTTGGCCAGACTGTTCCTGTGCTTTTGCACTAGTGCTTTTACTGCTAACACCTCCAGTAGCATTCTGAAATGGGTTGAGATCACATGAGCTTTTCCCATTTCAGACTGCTGCAGTTGACTCTGCCAGAAAAAAAAGACTGCTGTGCTTGGATGAACATAAATGAAGTAGTGGAAGGGAAGAGACGAGTTGGAGGTACATAAAGAATAATTAGATACTTGACTGTAGACAGTTACCTCTTGATATCAAATCATAGCTGGTGTGTGTGTGAAGAAACAGAGAAAACTGCAGACTTTACACATCCAAAACTATCTTAGACATGTTCCTGAATTTCCATTTCATGCTAAATGTCAAACATCCATATTCCAGAAATAGAATCCCAAATATATGCCCCAAGTTAAAAAAAAAATAAAAAAAATCAAATCACTAACTCAGTACATCCAGTGAAGCAGATACAAGTAAGGGAGCAGATACAAATCTGGAGTGGAACAAAATTTGCTGGTAAGTTTCCCTTCCCACATCTCCTGTAAAATTAAGGTCCACTAGAACTATTTGTTGAAAATCAACTCACGCCTCTGCCATGTGTAGTAAGAGTGGGGAATACTGCTGCAGGGGATGGAGCAAAATTTTTGATGGACAGGAATGAAACAAACCTTTTAAACACTCTCTCTTGTAGAAACTAGTGGAAGGAACATGCTTGAGAAATAATCAGAGCTAGAGATAGTACCTGGAAGGACTTAAATGGGAGTTGAAGGCACTCGGACCATTAATGATGATCAACAGGAATGGTTTATTGTAGATATTCAATAAGGGTCCAATCCTGCAAGGTTTAAGTGACCTTTCTTGTTCTGAAAGCAATTACAACTTTTCTAAGCTCTTTATTCACAAATATATATATATATATATATATATATATATATATATATATGCATCTAGGCCTGCTATAACCACATGTCTGGTTTTAACATTGGTTTGTTTTCTAGGGAAAGCTTGACAAGGCAGTGCCTCTGTATGAGTTGGCTGTTGAAATTCGACAAAAATCATTTGGTCCAAAGCATCCTAGCGTAGCTACTGCCTTGGTAAACCTGGCTGTTCTTTATTGTCAGATGGTAGGTTTTTCCTGTCTTATACATTTCAGCAATTTTATATATGAAATTTAACAGCATATAAAAGGACACCCTCAGGGAATTCAATCTCATGTACATTTTTACAATCTGAAAGAACATGTGATTGCACTGATTGGAATTTAGCCAGGGGTGAAAGGTTATGTTAATCCCTTTAATCTTGTAAAAAAGACCATGAGATTTTTATAAATCCATATAAATCACAGCCTTTGGTTTAAAACTACCTCTAAAGCACTGGTTTAGTACTGACTGAGGGAACATTACCTACTGAAATTCTGGCACTCCATGCACATTTATCAAGTGTAGTCTTGCCTAGGCTTTTAAGCTTATAAGGGCTGGTCTATACTTAGCCGCTAGTTCGGCGGCTGGAAATCGAACTTCCTGGTTCGATTTATTGCGTCTGGTCTGGACGCGATAAATCGAACCAGGAAGTGCTCGCCGTCGACTGCGGTACTCCAGCTCAACGAGAGGAGTACCGCGGAGTCGACGGGGAGTCTGCCTGCCGCGTGTGGACCGCATCTGAACCGCGGTAAGTTCGAAGTAAGGTATGTCGAATTCAGCTACGTTATTCACGTAGCTGAATTTGCGTACCTTACTTCGACTTGGGGGGTAAGTGTAGACCAAGCCTAAGACTGCAGTTGTAGACTTTCTACTCAATACCTAATATAGGTCAGAGAGAGAGAAACATTTACCAAGATATTACCATCCATTTGTTTCCTTAGTATCAATAACAGTAAACACTTCTACTTAATATATCATATATTGTTCTGTTATGTTGCTTGGGATCTGTAAACCTGCCTTTCAATAAGAGGTTACAGCTGATTCGCTAAACCCCAGGATTGTGTATGGTAGTTTATAACCTATTCATTTAGGATGAGACTTTCGAAGCCACCTAAGGAACTCTGACCCCAGTTATCATAAAATTAATAGGAAATGGTTGTCCAAATCTTTTAGGTTGCTTTAAGTGTCTCACTCTTATGTAAACAGCAGTTCTTTTAAAAACAAAACACTGTTTTGGTTTAGCAAAGAAATTTAAGTCTAGGATGTGCCTATACAGTTTGTAGAAACCAAATAGTATGTGTAATACCCATTTAAACAACTGGTTTTCATCTTGTTTTCCTTCTCCCACCCAAAAAGAAAAAGCATATTGAAGCCTTACCTCTGTATGAATGTGCATTAAAGATTTATGAAGACAGCTTTGGTCATATGCATCCTCGTGTGGGAGAAACACTAAAAAACTTAGCTGTGTTGAGGTAAGGACAGATATTTTCTCCCATCATCTAATATAGGGAAACTGCTTCCATTAAAAAATTAACAAATGTGAATAATTATATCAATAGAAAATGCTTTATTAGGCAATTTGGGGGCTAAAATGTAGACAGTGTTGGTAAGTGCGTTAATTATAGTAGGGTGACAGTCTGAAATGATGCAGACTAGAACCTTGAGGTACATATGCACCTCTTTCCTTTGACAACAAACATGGAGGGACTTGGATCCAGGTCTTGTCCTATCACAATCACAACTTATTCCTCCACTATGCAATACAGTTACACTTAACACAGTGAATGCAGCTGGAGTCCATGCTGATAATTCCTAGTGGCTAGTACCAGCTCCAGCAGGGCAGAGTTAAGATTGTATGGTCCTTTACCTTACCTCTGTATTTCCTTGTTTTCAGAAATTTTTGCTGAACTTAATGTCCTGGAGGGGCACAAGCTAACACCAGGCAATCTTAACTTGGCATTAACAAAGTTTTTTGCTGTTTAATTGTATTTTGTTTTTGCAGACTTCAGTACAGGAGTGAGTTGGTGGGGCGGTTTTGGTAAAATTTTGGTTTCTCTCCCAAAGCTATGAAGGAGGAGATTTCGAGAAGGCTGCCGAGCTGTACAAGAGAGCCATGGAAATCAAAGAAGCAGAGACTTTGTTGATAGGAGGAAAAGCAGCTTCCCGACCCTCATCAAGTGGAGACACTTTCAGTTTAAGAAGTACATTATCTCCAAATGTTTTTCTAGACCATGGACAAAGGTGATGCAAACTGGCACAAAAACAAATGCTAGTGAAGAATGCTTGATGGTTAAGTACTTAAAAAAAAATCTGAGCATGTTCAGAGATTAAAAAAATGATTTTAGGAGACAAAATGTTTGTGATGAATGAAAATATGAACAAAATTTTACATTTTAGTTTAAAATATTTCCGTTCATGCTAACTTTTTTGTGGACCAGGTGGTACAGAGTTACTTCTGTGTTACACACAGGCATTTAGTGAAAGACTGCTGAGTGTGTTCTATTAGTTAGTTGTTCAGACTGTAGCTGTAATGCCAGAAAATATTGGTTTTGTTTTTCTTTATACCTCTGCGAGCTACAGGTTGTTATTCCACGTCAGTTCCTTCAGTGTCCACACTGTTATGGTGTTTGTGGAATTTTGTTATTTTACCTTTCCGTCTTTTCCGGAGCAGTTTGTTATTCAGGGACACAGTAATTTTGAGAACCATATATTGTGTTTCCACCCAAAGAAGGAAAGTACCCCCAAACTTCACCTGCTCATGTTTTGGCTTTAAAGAAATTTGTACAAAGGAAACTGGGTTCTTAGTAAGACACGCTTTTGAGTTTTTAGATCATGGTTGTTGACAGAGGGCTTGTCTATGTGGTCAGTTCGTACATGGCAAGCCTGGGTGTAAATCTACAGCCCACCAGCCTTCACAATAACTGGCCATTGGGACCCTGATACACACAAATTTCTATAGTGTGCTTTGATTTAAACTCTGTTTTGAAACAGATTGAAGTGCACTATAGAACTTTTAGTGCATGGTAGGAAGGTCCCCATGGCCTGTGAGTGTGCAGCATGCTAATGCACTGTAGATTTACACCCCAGCTTGTCATGCATGAACTGATGATGTAGACAAGCCCTGACTAATATTTTTGTCCTCTCTAGCTAAAGCTTTTTAATTGGTGTCGGTTATATCCACTTATTTTTAGTAGGAATATGCTTTTTCAATGAGTAACCAGAGAGAAAAATATTATGAATTAATTGGGGACTGGCGCACAACTCTCAGTTTTAGTAGAGAAAAACTGCTCATTAAACTCCAGTATACAAGCATACTTGTATTAACGAGGAGAAAGAACAGAATAGCATCAGTGAATAGCAGTAAACTGATTTTTATTAAACTTACAATGGAGTATTTCTCCCAGTTGGTTACAATGATCAATTAAGTCTGTTTGTTTACAAACAAATTCACTAATTTAAAAATGACGTGCTCCTTTTCATACTTGTCAGATCTATGAGGAAACTTCATTCATGAACTAATCCATTTATTCAGCTAGTGTTAAAGTGCTGAGGCTATTTATCTCAAAGGGATACTATTTATCTTTTCCTTTCCCCCCCTTTAACGGTAAGCAATTAAGTCAATTCCGCACCCTCCCCCCATTCAGCACTTTTTCTGAATAGAAAAAGAAATATTTAAATAAGAATGTAACTTGGAACGATTAGTTTTATAGTGCTGCAATGAAAAATGTACAATATCGAAACTGACATTGAGCACTAAAACTTAGTTGAAGAAGAAACTTCTAACAGACTATACAAACGATATGAGGTTCATGCAGCATAGAAGAAGCTGTTTTTATTTAGACAAAAATTGTAATCTTCTAAATTTCAAACAGATGGATGTTTGACTTCTTTGTATTGGTGTCCAAAACAAGTATAATAGCTCTCTTGATACTCCCTTCTGTAGAAAACATATCCCACCAAGTCCTGTTTGTACATGCAATTGAAGCGTTTGTATATTTGGTATAAGCCAAAATCTATGTAACTTAATGATCACAGTAGAACTCCACATCAAAACCATTAGTGTCTTCCAGTGTTATCAGCAGAGATTTAATAGAACAGATCCATAGCAAGGTCTCATTATTAAGATTCACTGTTAAAAATTTAAGTTGATAGTATATTGCAGCTTACAATATAAATGAACAAAGTTAGCAAAAATATACAGCATTGAAGTGTATTTGTTCACTGAGTTGCAAAAAATCAGACATTTCCACTAGATTTCTCACTCAGAGAAATACCATGGTTCTTTTTAGACTTCTAAATTCCAATATGCTTTAATTGCAAAGGTGAAAAACATTATCAGCCACAGGACTCGTTTTTGTTGGGTTTTTTTAAATTCGTTTTAAACACTGGTATGCAATCTTCTGCAAAGTTAGGTCTCGACTCCACCACCTCACTTTACAATTCGGAATGGGCAAGTGTAAAAGTTGCTTTGCTAACTATAGTCAGAAGTCAAGAACTATTTTGTATACCCTAACAACATCTCTCCAATAATTTTATATATGTATTAATTTCTATTTTTGTAAAACTGTACATAGGATAAAATTGTAAATAGTTGCCTTTTTATAAAGCTGTCAGCCATGTAAAGTAGTAGCTAAATCAGTGGTTCTCAAACTTTGTACTGATGACCCCTTTCACATAGCAAGCCTCTGAGTGCGACCCCCCCTTATAAATTAAAAACACTTTTTAAATATATTTGAAACCATTATAAATGCTGGAGGCAAAGCAGGGTTTGGGGTGGAAGCCGACAGCCCCCATGTAATAATCTTGTGAGCCCCTGAGGAGTCCCAACCCCCAGTTTGAGAACCCCTGAGCTAAATGCTAGCCAAATAATTCTAAATGGATTTTAGAAATATAACTCGCTTTTAAAAGTAAACACAGAATGGTTTTTAGGTGTGTTTGAAGTTTCTTGTACAGTTAATTTTTTTCAGTGATAAGTCAAACATTTTTAATATGTAAACACATGGCGGTCAGCTGCAGTGATGACATGCTAGGAGCTATTTTGGTCAACTCAGTCATTGACCCAGTAACAAAGAATTCATACCAAAACACTTGTGCCTTACAACTGCACACTCACACCACTATCAAATACAAAGCAATGTATACACAAATACTTCTTTATGAAAGAATAGGGATGTGACACAAACTGACAAATCACTCAACCCTTTAAAATTTTTCTAGTGAAATTTATGGCCTATGAAAAGATTGAAGCCTTCCATTTACCTACAAAACAGGTACAGCCACACTACAAACTTAGACAACATAGCCCATTGAACAGTAGCCGGCTGGATGCTTACAACTACCACAAATCTGGTTTGCATTTGAAGCGGTAACGTACATGTTAAAGACTCCATTATCAATCCCCTGAACCATTCTATCAGACAAGGTTACTCCACCTTTAATTTCCCCCATTTTGCCAACATGTGGAATATCATTCCACATCATGTGCTATGCTTACCTTTTTGTGTCAGTTTGTCTATTATCTTTAATTTTTCCCTAGAGATTTGGACCCTACCATGATGAGAAATGAAAACTTACAGTAGTACAACTTTGTATTTTAAAGCAGTATATAGATAGACAGCAGAATACAGTTATGAGATGCCATCTCCAAGTTTTTATAGTTCTGTTTTACCAAAAGTTCAAGTTTTAAGACTGGAATTTCTTACAGGACCTTATTTCTTGTGATATTTCTTGATTCAGCTCTAGTGCAAGATCCCAAATGTTAAATTCAATATTCCATTTGCCTACATGTTCTTCATCTTGGCCATGAGTTCTTCTAGGCTTTCCTCAGACTCTGCCACTGTTGTTTCCCCAGCTACAATATTCTCTTCCTATTGGCAAAAGGGGGGGAAATATTTAGTTCCTTTGCTCTGAATAAAACAGGATATAACGGACCCAAGGAGTTCAGAATACAGAGTTCTTGCAAGATCAGGCCCAAACATTACAACATAAGCTATTCCATAGCCATTTTTATATGTCTGACACAAAATCCATTGGTAAACTCCATTCTGATTAGGATTTAAGAAAATGATTTTTTGATGCATAAGTATGGAAGTTAAATTTCCCAGAGACTGAGCTTCAGTTTTATGGTAATTTGACTGCATCTTTCTTTTAAAGGATAAAAGTAATTTGTAAAAATGGTTTTGACTGTCTAAACAACTGGGGAATTCCTCAGTGTGCTTAAACCTCAACACAAATAGAGAAACAAATTCATTAATTCCTGCTGCCCTCAGAACTAGCTTCAAGATAATAAATTGTTTAAAATATATTGTAAAGACTCAAACAATAATAATTTGATTGAATGTACAGGCGTGCAATTATTTTACTAGAATTGTTACAGATGGGGTTTTACCATGGACAAATGGTAATAAGTTGATAACTATCATGTATTTTCCTCAGTTTATGTAATAACTGAATGCTTTTTAGTACATTCCAAAGGATACAGCAGACAACTGCTTTACAGTGTTTTCCTCTATGACTAGTTTCACATAATATAGAACCTTCTAATACTGTCATTAAATAAATCTATAAAAAAGGGTGAATTAATGTTACCTTGTTTGGTATGGTATATGCTACTGTAATTCCCTTTGGAAGATCAGGAAGTGGACCAGAAGCAGCCTTCAGTTCCTCTTCTGAAACCTCTGATACCAGCTCAATACCTAAGTGTCAAAATGTCAACTAATTATTTAAATAAAAAACTAATCAGAGGATCAAAGTTATTACCATTAGATGAAAACTGCAGCAACCAGAGCTTATTAAAATAAAAAGAGTACTTTAACAGTACATCCAGTAAGAGACCTTTTAAGTCAGATTCCCTACAACATATTTTAAATAGCTCCAGGGATGGGCCTTTCAACTCCCCTATGGGTACTCTTTCATAGTCTAAGTCATTCATTCATTTTTTTCCTGATAGTAAGCTTATATTTTCATTTGATTAAAAATACAATATTCAGAGAGTAACCATTTCAAGAGTATATGAATTTAATTTTTTTGACAAGTGTGCTGACAGTTTCAGCCCAGCAATTTTCTCAGTTGTTAATGCCCTTACAGGGAATTTTTATATATATATATATTTTAACCCCTTATGTTACAGAAACCTGATTATAATGAATATTCGTTGACAAGATATTTAAATGGACATGCGGATAAACTTAGACCCAAACTTGAGTTTTGTATAAAAGTTCCTATAAAATCTAATGGATAGATATTTTCACAAGATTAAAGAAATAAAATGAAAATATTTTATTTAAACATACTTCTGTAGTGTTGAGATTAAATTTTAACCTGTTCAATGTATGAGAACCAAAACATGAAATTGTTTTAGATTTGTCAGATTTATTAGAATTGAAAAAATGTGAGTAACCAATAGTGTTTAATAAAGATTAGTTAAATTCCCTAATTTGTTGGCGGTGTCCATTCAAGTTTGAGGTGATTGCTTACCCCAGTCATTGTCTTCATGAACTATTTCTTCTTCATGTTCAACTACTACTTGTTTTGGTTGTGCAGCCTTTTTTTCCTGAAGAGACAACATGAAAAAATAAAACACAAACATGAATTTGTGATTATTTTTGTTACAATATTGAGGAGAGTTAAGACAGTCTAAATATTTATGAGAGTTTGTTTATGGCTTTTTAGGAAACATTTAAGGGTGACCTGCAAAGGATTAAAAAAGGGCATGCTCCTTTACTATGTATAAAGAAGGCCTGAAAGGATTTCTTCCCCCAATTCAACATCAATGACTAATGAAAATTTTGGGGAAAATAAGTTTTTGAATATTCAACACTCACACTCTTTAATTAAGAGGTTAAGAGAGCCCAAAATATACATCATCGTTAAACCTTCCACAAATCTTAGAGCAAAAGCAGGGAAAAGCAAAGGTAACACTCTTGACATAATATAAAAAATAATAATAAAAAAACAGTTCAAATCTTCTTTATTCATCAGAAAGCAAAGCATAATTTCTTAAAGAAATCCATTAAATGTCATCTTTACACACTTAAGCACATATGTAAGAGGTTGCAGGATTGGGGTCTAAGTGACAAATATTTTATTAGGTTTTTTTTTGGCAAAGCGATAAGTTTCATAAGTTACTCTGCTTACCTTTTACTTTAAGATGACCTACAAATACTTCTGAAAATATTTCAAATAATCTAACTTTAAAGTTTGTGGAAACAGCCTGTCAACACTGCTTCAATTCAGAATGATCTGCTTTATTTACCACAGACCTTCAGCATGCATTAACTGATGGATTTTTACCTTGTATTCTTCCTGCTGTTTCCTGCAATTTTTGTCATTGCAGTGTGGGTTTGGTTTCATGGCCATAGTTGGAAAGAAGTCCTGCATCGCATTGTAACCAAGATAGTAACTCACAGTACCAAAATTTAATAAAAACCTGGAAAAACAGAATGAGAACTGCAGTAAAATGAAAATATTTTCTTGTTCGCAGATTCAGGGTGAGTTGCCTAAATGCTTTTTCCAGATGTTATATTTTGTACCCCTCAGTCGTGATACTGTATTGTTACCCTAAATTACTCGCATTTGGTTTTAAATTACCTATACCCACTTCAGAAATTATGTAGTAGATCCTCACTTGGATCAGCATAGCTTTATCAGATAATGGCGCTATCCTGAATTATACCGCACGAGAATTTGGCCCTATGTTTGTATAGGTATAAACATGAGAGATGGCTCATGGATGAAATTTGATACCATTTCCTGGGTTTGCAATCAAGTAAGTTTAGAACAGGGATCGGCAACCTTTGGCACGCGGCCCGTCAGGGAAAACCGCTGGCAGGCCGGTTTGTTTACCTGCAGCGTCGGCAGGTTCGGCCGATCGCAGCTCCCACTGGCCGCGGTTTGCCGTTCCAAGCCAATGGTGCAACCTTCCCCTCCACCCTACTTGCGTCCAATCCCATTCAGTCAGGGTGGAATTTTCAAAAGCAATTAACATTGGCTTAACTCTCCTCCCACTGAAGAAAAATCTTCAGTGGGGGCAAAATTAGGCCAGGCTGACCTCTTGGAAATCCCACACTAAAAATAGTTTATTTCTTATATTTATTACTAGAGAACCAAATTCTGCCTCTATGTAAATTCACACAACATATACTAAAGTCAATGGAATACCTCTGTAGCTGAAGGCAAAACAACCCTCTGTTTTACTTCACAAGATCTGGATTGTTTTTAATTCGTCATCTGCAGCTAACAGCATCTGGACAATTATCCCCAGAATGAGTTTGTCTAAAATAGGATTTTAGCACACGAACTCAAGAGACAAAAATCCTATTTTCCAGACTTAAAAATACAGAAAGGGAAACAAATTTATGCACATAGAATTGTTCAAATTTTCTCATGGACATAGTTCTTTGAACAGTTGGAGTTTGTGATATTACTTGTAGAAAATTTTACTATACAGTAAAAATATTTATTGCTGTTTTGCATCACTGAACAGAAACTGTGCAGGACTAACTCTCTTCCCATGCTTTGTGCAAAGGAAACAAAGAAGTTATTCTGTGACTCTGACATGCTTCAAGACTTCGTAATTCAAGATGAATTAAAAAAAAAAAATCGCGAAAGAGCACTTGAAACAATCTGTAGAAAATGGTAGCTCCAAAACAAAAAGTTCAGTGACTCAGGATACGTCTACACTGGGGGAAAAAACAAGCCTGTGGCAGCAAGTCTCAGAGCCTGAGTCAACTAACTCGGGCTCACACTAAAGAGCTAAAAAATAGCAGTGTAGACTTTTCTGCTTAGGCTGGAGCCTGGGCTCTGAGCCCCTCCCCCCACCACCAGGTTTCAGAGCATGGATTCCGTCCGGCCCAAGCGGGAACATCTACATTGCTATTTTTAGCCCCACAGCACCCGAGTCAGTTGACCCAGGCTCTAAGACTTGCTGCCATAGGGTTTTGTTTTGCAGTGTAGATGTACCCTCCTATCACATATCTTGGTATCAACTCCTTTAAGCAAATGCCTTTGTACATGAGTGTGTATGAAAGAGGCAGATCTGTCACTAGGAAAGAAAGATCACCAATCTCATACGCTTATAAAGTCCTGAAGACGTGAAGCTCTAATGATCAGAAAGAAGCCTGTTGTATTCTTTATAACAAGATATTGTAAGTTTAGTCACAGAAGTTCATTCAAATAACTTACTTCAGAACATTTTGTACAAGAATCCCTGCAACTACTCCCATAGTGGTAGGAAGGCTGGCTGCACAAACTCCCTCTCGCTTTAATGTTTTTTCATCAATATTGGCAGCAACTACAAGTGGGGGAGCACACTGGGAGGAGAAAAAAAATCTTATTAAAAAAATGAATAAAAACCTCAGACCACACAAAGGCAATAACCAGAATTACTCTGAACTAAAACAAGCTGTGGCTATATAGCCTTGAAATACCAGTTTCACACCACACATCCTGTTTTAAAAAGCACAAACTAGAAATACAGTGAATCCCAGATTTCAGAAAAGGACCCTTTAGCCAAAGATTGCATACCGCAAAACAAGCAGATTCACCAGGTATGATAAGTTGTATATGTCCTGAGACTGCATTTTCACTCACTCCAGATTCCATCCATGTTTGTCCAAGCTCATTGCAGGCCTTGAAAGCACAAACATACCCAAGAGTTACAATAAATTAATACTGTAGAAGTTTGTTGCAAAAGGTTATTAGAAATCATGCATTACACTGATGAATCTGTGACTTTTACCCCTTAAAGCCAGAAGACAAAAAAAACTGTCAGATTAAAAGAGGTATTACTATAAACTATTTCTGTGCCTTTTTTTAGTAACTCTGACAATAATAAAAATCAAAGGCCAAATATGGGTATTGGATTCAGGAGGGCAGATCTCTGCACTTGTCTGGAGCGCCACAGAAATCAATGGGGCTCTGCACATGTACAGAGCTCCAACTCACAGTTGCCAGATCAGGGCCCAGGAGTCTAATATGGTTTATTAGGATTTTCTATTCAATTTCTTTACGGTTTTCTCCCTTTAATTATATTTATTTTACACACATGCACACACAAGCATGGATTTATTATATTTATACAATTATATGTGTCATATATACACATGCTGCTCAAGGTAACAGGTGGATGGCAACAAAAATGTGTGTTTTGGAAAATACACTGCATTTGTTACAACTGTGAAGGAAAACCGCACAGTAAAAACTGCATACTGCCTTAATAATATACATCAAAATATAACGATTCTTATCAAATTTTCCATAGGATAGTTATACAAAGAAAGTCATTAGTGAATTTAAACAGGGTTTACAAGATGACTCAATACAAATAAAATTTAATAAAAAAAATACACTTTTCCTTTACTAACCCTTACTATCACATGTACTCTGTTTTACATCTACTCTTTATGCTCCAAGAACTGAATAAAATGCTCATTTCCTTATTTTCACATATATCAATGGTATTAGCAAACCCACAAGAGTATGCGCAGACCTCAGATGCTGTACTTACAGTGTTAATTGCCATACGAGCTTCAAAGTTGTCCACGCAGCTCAGTACAAGATCAACAGGTTTCCCTTCTTCTAACCCACCATAACTAAAGTAAATACCACAGTTTACATGAGGATGGTTTGCAAAACACATTAAAATTGTAGTCAAGACATTTCATTCTTTTCATTACATAAATTGATGGGAAATATATTCCTATCTAACAAAATAGTATGGATCCTATTTAATACTCTCAGTCTCAAACAATTCAATAAAACCCTGTTTATCCAAAATGTGCAGGGACATCCATAGAAGTAAGTAAAAAAGCAGTCCTTAAAAATGGGGTCATCTGAGGAATCATAAGAAATTCAGATAAGAGGATATTTCAGACTAAAGGAAATATCATTGGGTATAATTTTCACCTCTTACAAATTTTAAGAAGTGTAGTATAAATTTTTATTTCCCCTAAAGGTTTCTCTTTGCATAACATATCTGCAGTCATTTCAGAACTAATTTGTGAGATATTAATTACATTGTATTATTTTCAATGGAAATGAGAGTCAAGCTACTCAAAAGAAGGGATGTGCAATTTGATGTCTTTTTAAAGAAGTATGACAACATATGGAATCTTCAATTTGGCTGGAAAGCTAAAAATACACTAATATAAACAAGGAACAAATTTAATTTAAAGTGAGACAAAAGTAAATGCTATTTACCAAGATCTACTTGGATAACAGGGCTAGGAAACAAAAAAGTGTCTTTATATACATATATTTTACATAAAATGTGATTGTTTTCCAATTGGAGGCCTAACATTTAAAAAAATTATGAAGTCAATAGAGTATTTTAGACTTTACCAACAAAAATCAAAAGAAGTCGTGTGCTTTTCTCAAAACATTTTACCTTATTCTGTCCATGAAATGTTGGAAGTTATCCACTGTTGTGATATTGTAGTTATGTACTTCAAACTGAACATCAGGATTAATATTCCTTGTAAAGAAAATAAAATCAGTCAACAGTGATAATGAATGCAGTAGCAACCTCAGAGAACTCCCTCCCTCATCCAAGTCACAAGCACTGCTTGAATTTTTAGAAACACACTTTAGCTTAGAAAAGGTTAGCTAGGATAGCTATTCTGGCAAACCCTTCTAGCATAGACGCAGCCACTACTGGCAAAAATGTGCTTATGCCAGTTCTCTGAATGAAAAGCTTTACTGGCAAAAATCACTTTTTTTCTGGTCTAACTGCATCTGCACTAAGGCTTTTCCAGTGTAAAAATGTCATTAACCAAAAAACAAAACAAAAAAATCCTACATCTACCCTACATTATACCAGCAAAAATTCTAGTGCAGCTCAGTCCTTGGACTCCATATGAACATGCAACTTTCTTGTGGGTTTTTTTGTAGAGTGAAATATCTGAGTTTGAATTAGCATCCCATGTTAAATATATTTGATACCCACTCTATACCTCAGAGTATGCTCCGCTGCCTGCACTTTACTTAGTCCAGCTTGATGAGGTTGGAAGAAGAGCCTGTTCATGTTCGCCAACTCCACCTTGTCATAATCAAACAGTAGCAGCTACAATGAAGATTATAATAATATATATGAATTTTCAGTGGGTCTCTGCTGATGAACACCATGTTGGTATTATAAACAGCAAACTGTGACAGGCCCTGATCCTAGAAATACATGTGAGTAGTTCCATCCATTTTACCAAGTCTACTCATGTGCAAACCATTATTGAGGTGTATTGACTGCAGGACTGGGCCCTAAACTACTGGTCACTAAGACCTGAGAACACCAAACTGTTCAGATCAAGTCACCAGAATGATGGTTAACAGAATACATTTATCTAAAACAAGCCGAACATTCAGCAGATTATCCACATCAATAGACACTAACTTTAGTGACTGTTCTTTTGACATTCCTAGGTGTGATTATTTCAAGATAATTTCTGATTGTATTTTTGAGTTGCAAATCTAGCGTGTAGATAACAATTACTCATTTTCAATGACTAGCTAATACAGAAGAACATCTGATATGTCAATTCTTATCAGGTCAGTAGACCAAAGAGTCAAGTATCCTGTCTTAGACAGAGGCCATTACCAGCTGCTTCAGAAGAAATCATAGAATCATAGGACTGAAAGGGACCTCGAGAGGTTATTTAGTCCAGTCCCCTGCACTCATGGCAGGACTAAGTATTACTTAGACGAGGAGTTCTTATCCTTTTTCTTTCTGAGGCCCCCCCAACATGCTATAAAAACTCCACAGCCCACCTGTGCCACAATAACTGTTTTTCTGCATATAAAAGCCAGGGCCGGCGTTAAGGAGTAGCAAGCAGGGCAGTTGCCAGGGGCCCCACGTCACAGGGCACCCCGCAAAGCTGAGTTGCTCATGCTTCTCCTTCACCCCCAGGTGGCAGGGTTCAGGGCCCCAAGCTTCACCCCTGTGTGGCAGGGCTTAGACTTTCTACCCTGGGCCCTAGTGAGTCTAACACTGGTCCTGCTTGGCAGACCCCCTGAAACCTGCTCATAGCCCCCTGGACCCCTGGTTGAGAATCACTGATCTAGACCATCCCTAGCAGGTGTTTGTCTAACCTGCTCTTAAAAATCTCCAATGATAGATTCCACAACCTCCCTAGGCAATTTATTCCAGTGCTTAACTACCCTGACAGTTAGGAAGTTTTTCCTAATGTCCAACCTAACCGCCCTTGCTGCAATTTAAGTCCATTGCTTCTTGTCCTATCCTCAGAGGCTAAGGAGAACAATTTTTCTCCCTCCTCTTTGTAAGAACCTTTTATGTACTTGAAAACTGTTATCATGACCCCTTTCAGTCTTCTCTTCTCCAAACTCAACAAACCCATTTTTTTCCCCATCTTCCCTCATAGGTCATGTTTTCTAGACCTTTAATCATTTTTGTTGCTCTTCTCTGGACTTTCTCCAATTTGTCCACATCTTTCCTGAAACGTGGCACCAAGAATTGGGCAAAATACTCCAGTTAAGGCCTAATCGGTACGGAGTAGAGCGGAAGAATTACTTCTCATGTAGCTTACAAGACTCCTAATACATCCCAGAATTATATATATATATATATATTTTTGCAACAGTGTTACACTGTTGACTCATATTTAGCTTGTGACTGCTAAGCAGTCATTTCCCATTTTGAATGTGTGCAACTGATTGTTCCTTCCTTAGTGGAGTACTTTGCACGTGTCCTTACTGAATTTCACCCTATTTACTTCAGACCATTTTTCCAGTTTGTCCAGATCATTTTGATGTTTAATCCTATCCTCCAAAGCACTTGCAACCCCTCCCAACTTGGTATCGTGCACAGACTTTATAAGTGCACTCTCTCGGCCATTACTGTATCTAAATCACTGATGAAGATACTGAACAGACCCAGACCCAGAAGTGATCCCTGCAGGACCCCACTCAATATGCCCTTCCAGCTTGACTGTGAACAACTACTCTCTGGGAACGGTTTTCCAACCAGTTATGCACCCATCTTACAGTAGCTCCATCTAGGTTCTATTTCCCTAGTTTGTTTATGAAAAGGTAACGTGATACAGTATTAAAGGCCTTACTAAAGTCAAGACATACCCCATCTACCACTTCCCCCCATCCACAAGGCTTGTTAGCCTGTCAAAGAAAGCTATTAGGTTGGTTTGACATGATTTGTTCTTGACAAATCCATGCTGCCTGTTACTTATCACCTCATTATCGTCTAGGTGTTTGCAAATTGATTGCTTAATTATTTGCTCCATTATCTTTCTGGGTACTGAAGTTAAGCTGACTGGCCTGTAATTCCCTGGGTTGTCCTTATTTCCCCTTTTTATAGATTGACACTCTATTTGCCCTTTTCCAGTCCTCTGGAATCTCTCCTGTCTTCCATGACTTTTCGAAGCTCATAACTAAGGGTTCAGATATCTCCTCAATCGACTCCTTGAGTATTCTAGGATGTATTTTATCAGGCACAGGTGATTTGAAGACATCTAACTCGATTAAGTAATTTTTAACTTGTTCTTTCCCCATTTTAGTCTCTGATCCTACCTTATTTTCACTGGCATTTACTACATTAGACGTCCAATCGTAACTAATCTTTTTGGTGAACACCGAAACAAAAAACTCATTTAGCACTTTGGCCATCTGCACATTTTCTGTTATTGTTTTTTCCCCCCTCGTTGAGTAACGGGCCTACCTTGTCCTTGCTCTTCCTTCTAATGTATTTGTAAAATGTTTTCTTATTACCCTTTATGTCTCTAGCTATTTTATGTAAATGACATAACCTGCTTATTAGGATGAGTTATGATATAACCTCCTCCTAAGGTTTCTTCCTAACCCCGAAGAGATAGAAGTTAGTTTTTGTCCTGAAGCATGAATGTTTAGATCCCTTCCTACACTTAAAAAAACCTGTACTATATTAACTCTAGATGTTCTCGTTACCAATATAAATCTAATTTTTCCTGCTGCTAAGCTCTTGGCCTCTATATCTTGTGACAATGAGTTCTATGTATTAACTGTGCATTGTGTGAAAAATTGTGTTCACTTATTTGTTTTAAATTCATTGCCTCTCAATTTAACTTAATGTCCCCTTGTTCTTGTTTTTATGAGAAACAGAAGTGTTCAATCTTCCTTCTCTGCATTATGCACCCCCCCCCCATCTTTATTAACAGCTTTTCCTCCTCCACTGCCTTCTATGGCTGAACTAAAAGCAATACAGAAGGAACCTGATCTGACAGAGTGTGGAGCACCCAGCTGAGGGTGATTTGCAACATACAGGACTAGGCCCTAGGTAAGGCTAGTCTACTTGAACAGAGAACAAGTTACCTCAGAAGACTCATCACTTTCAATGTTTTTGTCAGTATTACTCTTTTGTTTGCTTCAGCTGACTAACATTGGTGCAGACTCAAACAAGAAATCCATCTTGCCAGTACCTATTATATATATAGGACTAGTTCATCTGTTTACTGGTACATGAAGAAAATGTATATTACCTTACCAATGCCACATCTTGTCAACATTTCAGCAGTCACACTGCCAACTCCACCAACACCTACTACTGCTACCGTAAAGGTACGGATTTTCTGTCAAGAAAAATAAATACAGATTAGTATGTTACAAAGTAGCCTGCATGAGAGGAAGTAAAAACAGTTTTCTAAAACAAATATAATCATACCTCATAATCTTTCACAATTCCCATTCGTTTTAATGCCATCAGGCGGCTAGGAAAAACAAAACAAATAAATAAATAAACCATCCAACATAGTCAAGGAAAGCTCTCTCAAAATCACCGAGATTCAACTTTTTATTGTTGCTCAAATAGTTGTAAGAGTAGAATGACAAAGAACAAGCCCCAGAGGAGCTCAAAATAGAATTAACAGTTACACAGTAAATGCTGTGGAATTCTTGACTACAGAGAAGGGACCCATAAGAGGAGGGATTAGCATCTATAATTTTATTTCTGAAATATTTAGATTTACATTACTTCACTAAGGTATCTAAAAGAAAAAGATTCAGAATATGAATATATTCAGATTTATGATAGTACTCTAAAATAACACTTTTTTAAAAAAGTAAAGTTTAAGCAAACAATTAAAGATGTACTAGAGATTGGAAGACTAAGACTAAAGTAAAATGGTAAATTATTTGAAAATAAACATAATAATGTTGTTAAATTCAAAAGCAAAGAAAATCAGTTAATAGCTTTGAAATCAACACTAATATAAAATGTCGTATTTCTCACCAGATACTATAATCTCTTCCCTGAAATCTAATATTAAGTAGTCGCTAAAGCAGATTACAATAATTAAGTTTCCCACAAGAACAATCTGAGACCCTTAATTTATATTCTTTTCCTTTTATTTCATTTGTTTTCCAATTCTATTTCTAAGGTTTATGCCTTTCCGAAGAAGTGGGTTGTAGCCCACGAAAGCTTATGCTCTAATAAATTTGTTAGTCTCTAAGGTGCCACAAGTACTCCTGTTCGTTTTTACAGATACAGACTAACACGGCTGCTACTCTGAAGCCTTTCAGAAAGTTGAAGTATTAGGCACACTTCAGAATGAAAGCCCCTATGTCACTATATCAGGCAACCAACCTACTACTATCACCATCACATTCTGTAAACAGCAGCTTGGAAAAAAACAACAAACATTTCCTGCTAGCTTCAGTAGAACATGTCTTTAACTCTTCTGCATACTGGGTTTCTAACGAATAAACCGAAGACCACTGTGCTCATTGCACTTAAAACTGCTAAGTGGACATGTACTAAGTGAGAATGGAAACCCATCTCTATGCATAGAACCCTAAGGCCCCAATGCTGCAAGCACTTACATGCTTTACTTTATTAGTGTGAATAGTCCCACTGAAACAAATGAAACTATTTACGGTATTATTGTTTGCAGGATCAGGAGGGAGAAAGGGAGAGGATACTTGAGTGTGCACACAATTATTCAATTTCACACAATTATTCAATTGTGTGCACACAAAATTTCAATTATTTTGAGGACTAATGTGACTGCAATAACTGCTTTCCCAATGCCAGGCTAATGCCCTGATAACATCTGATAACTACCTTAAAAACAAAACAAAACAAAAGCTTTCAGGGAGAACAACAGGAAGAACAACCTTTTAACTCCAATACTGGACTATGAGAGAAATTTGGAGGTACTGAGCTATTTTCAGGTTGTGAGGACAACTAGAAGAGAGAGGATTAAACACAATCCTGCTACTGAAACATTTTAAATAGTAATACTTGGCACTAATATGCACTTTTTATAGAGGATAACAGAGTGCTTTACATAAAGTACTGTATCTACTCTATTTTATATTATTATTTTATTGCTGTACAAGTGCAAAGTATTACAATTTGAAGTGTTCCTAAAGGAGGACTATTTTAAACCTATATATTATTATTTAATCCCAGGGCAAACTGAGGCACAGAAAGGTTATGGGACTGATTCTCAGAAGTGCTGAAATCCACAAGTTAGGCACTGCAAATCCTCAGCACCTATGATAATCAGCCTCTAAATGACCCAATGTACAAAAGTAAATTAGTGGAGGGAGGGGGGGGAAAAGGGGTCCCAACTCCCATTTCTTCCCCAATATTGTATACTATTTCCTTAGGAGTAACTTCTCCGTAAGTAACTCATAGTAAAATACTCCACTCTTAAAGACAGAAAATACAAAATAGTGTTATAATTCATCACCAAGAGACAGGTAGGGTTTCGGGGGAGAGGGGGATGAAGTGGGGTGGCACATCACACCACTTCCCAGTGAATGGAAACTGGGGCAGATGTCTTAATTTGCTTAACAAATAGCATCTCCTAAACAGGGGTCGGAGTCAGACCTTCCCCTCCCGACACAGTATAGGGAGCCTCCCTCTCCCGTCCCCACAAATCCCCTGTACAACAGCCCCCATATGGCAGCTCTCTCAAGTCTCAATAAAACAGGTGCTGACTCCTGCTCTCTTCCATCTCCTTCATAACAACCCTCCATATGGCAGCACCCCCCCCCCCCGCTACCCCAAACCCCTACGTGCCAGGCTTGTCCCCACTGTCCCCAGATGGCAGGGCCCGTGGCAGCCCTGCCCCTCCCCATAGGGCAGCTCCCCCCTCCCAAAAGGCAGGTGTCCCCCCAGGGCAGCCCCCCGCCGTCACCTGTAGGGGTTGGAGTCGGTCACCTCCGGGCTCATCCTCTCGATGCGAGCCCGCTGGCCCTGCCCGCCGCCCCGCTCCCTGGCCAGCGCCTCCTCCAGCTCCCGCACGCGGAGCTGCAGCTTCTCCACCAGACTGGCCGAGGCCATGGCAGCGGCTCGCGACGGCCGCACGCTCTGCCCGGCCGCGCAGAGACACGTCCCCACTCCCGGGAGGCTTCCGGCCGGGAGTCCACAAGCAGGGTCCTCCCCGCTGCAACCTAGCCCGCGAGGAGAGTTCCGGGCACAAAAGAGCCCGAGCTGCAGGAGAGAATAGGGTGGGGGTGGTGAGTCTACTGCTGTCTGTGGTGTGTGCACGACGGATTATCATAATAATAACGATCAATAAATAGAAAATAAATGCTAGTGACTGCCCCGGTGAAGTCAGAGCCCAAAACTTTGCATCTGATAATAACAATGTGTAGAGACACTGCCTTAGAGGAACAGAGATACATTGCTCTGTACAGGAGACATACATAAGGCCATTCACGGTATTATAGACGATATATGCACTCCACTGTACAGGAGGCACAGACACTGCTTTTTACTTAGAAGATAGACACCTTATGGGGAATACACGGTTATTATAAACATTTATGGTCCATCTGTGGCATGTTTTGATTCAAAATATCCTGCATTACCAACCCTAAGCATTCAAAAAATCTTGAGTCAACCCCTAAAAATCAGGAACTTCGCTGAAAAATAAAGAGATTTTACAAAATAATACATTTTGGGTTCTTTATATTTGTCTTCTGGTTTTTGAGACTTTAAGGTTCAAATTTTCAATGCTTTCAGACCAACCATGAGGGCTAGAAACTTCCATTTTTAAGTGAAGGCCACAATTCTTATGCAACCACTTGACTCCGGAATTTGGAAGTTTAAGGAAAAACTCAAATATAGCAAGATTTGTGATACAAATCAGGATAATGTCACAACATCATTTTCATTTAAACATCACACAGCAGGCTTAAAAGCTGATGTTTCAACATGGTTTTCACTCACTGTTGTGAGATGGTTGTAGGTTAAACATCACAACATGATTGCTGTGAGTTAAAAGTCACCTTGTGGTTGTCTGTGATACATTGCAACCAGGTTGTCAATGTGATTGCACGTGAAATGCTCTGGCCAGAGCTAGGGTTGGAATCTTCTAAACCTGAATGAAAACAAACAAAAAGACCGACGTGTTCACATTTTATACTAAATCGTCACTTCTTTTTTTTTCCAAATCAGCTCTACAGTTGGTCGGAAAACTCGCAAATGTGGCTGTGACAACATTTGGCTGTGACATACACATAGGTGCCAGCACCTGTGTCTGCCTGTCTGTCTGTCAGCCACACTCCTGGCATCTCTGAGAAGTGGTGAAGGAGCTAATTTTGCTCTCACTGCCGCTTGCCGACCTACTCCCTCGCACTGCAGAACTGGCCAGACCCCTTCACCCTGCATCGCCGAACTTCAAGCAACTTACTCGAGCCTTGCCCACGGGGGAGGGTCCTCCAGGCAAGGGGACTGTCTACGCCAAAAGCGTACGCCGGGCGAGGGGTGCCGCCTGGCGTAGGTCAGGGGAAGGGGGTGTGGTTACGCTGCTAGCGTACATGCGCTGGCTGGGCTTGGCAGCAGCGCCGAGAGGGGCTGAAGATGGCAGCTGAGCCTGGCACTACCGCGGTGAGGGAGCAGCACAGGTTTGACCAGGGAGCCCTGGAGAAATACCTCTCCCGCCATTTGGCCGGGTTTCCTGTGCAGCCCCCCGAAGCGCTGACAGCCAGGCAGTACAGGTAACCCTGCAGGCGGGGACGGTCTCCCCACTCCCGTGCTGCGACTGCCTCTCCCCATTGCTCGCCCAGGACAAATCACAGCGGTCGCTGCTGGCCTGACGCTGGGGCAGCGAGTCGTGACACCAGAACAGGGACAGTGAGAGCTGCCAAGGGAGCCTTGCTTGCACAATCTCTTCGAGAAAATTAGCCCTGGAAACCTGGGATGGGCAGGAGAGCTGGGCCGCCTGCCCCTAGATTGTGGCTTCTTCTGGTGGCACAAATGTCTGCGTCTCAGCGGTTGCCCATGTAAGATTGCGCGGGCACCGCCACTGTGTGAAGCGAGCTATCATTTAGGTCAGTGGTTCTCAACCCTGGGGGTTCTCAGAGGTCTTCCAGGGGGTACATCAACTTATCTAGGTATCTGCCTGGTTTTACAACAGGCTACATAAAAAGAACTAGCGAAGTCAGTACAAACTAACATTTCATACAGACAAATGAGAAAGTAAGCGATTTTTTCAGTAATAATTTTTGTATTTTTATGTCTGATATTTTAAGCAAGTAGTTTTTAAGTGAGGTGAAACTTGGGGTATGCAAGACAAATCAGACTCCTGAAAGGGGTACAGTAGTCTGGAAGGGTTGAGAACTACTGATTTAGGTAGCCCTAAGAATGACTTTGGCAGCCGTGAATTTTGTTTGTGGTAGATAGGGTCATCCTTCAAAAGATGCAATAAAGATAAAAATAATAATTATCCTAGAAATGCTGGGAAGGATGATCACGCGTAAGGAAGGCAAAGTGCCTAGTTTATGGTATCTTACCTGTTTTTAGTGCATCCATCACCTTAGTGTCTATGATAGGCAGATTACAGATGTTGTCAAAGTTTATCAGTTAAATACATGTATTGAACAGAGCCAGAGGTGTGCGTTGTACTGCACTGAGCTCATTGTGCAGTTAAAGAGGGACAACAAGGAAAACCATGACTACATGTTACGGTAATGCAGAAACAAAATACTGTAACTTCTGTTATCAATGTGAAAGTTCACCAGTTACAAAACATGTTATTGAGTTCAAAGTTTATTTACTGTAAAACAGCAACCTATCCTGTTGGGCACAAGTTCAATGTGAATAAACAGTATTTGCTTTAAGGACAAACTCTTTGATGAACTCTTTTATGATTAACTTTATTGCTGTATGTGTTAAAAGTAGACAAGGAACAGTGCATAGGCCCTTAACAATTCTGAGTGATGGGGCCTTTGGGGTTCTCTCATGTTCTATGGCTTGAAGAAAGGGACCAGATAAATTAGCACATGTGTGATCTAAAACAAAATACTTGTAAAAAGTGAGTTAAGTCTTCTTAATTGGATCTCAAAAAAGTGAGAGGTGACAATATACCAAAAAATTGGAAATACTGGTAATCTCATTATAAAACCGCTAGTGGCTTTTTCCTCCCCAAGAACATGACATCACAAGACCATAAGTCTAAGAATGTGACATTAAAATATAATTTTTTATAATACTGAAGACTGTATGATTACATCTACCATAGCAGAATAGACAAAATAGATTTATGTCCTTTGTAAATTTAAATGTCTTGCATCAACCTAACTCTGTAGTGTAGACCAGACCGTAGACACTTAGGAGAATAAATGTAATTGACTTGCAATGAGATGCAGTTTTCTAAGCACTTAAGTCATTTCTAAAAATGGAACAAGGGCTCCTAAGTCAATTAAGCACTTTTGAAAATGTTACTGTGACAGAATGCACCCCTGTGTTCACACCCCACACACTATTATAATAATCTTTGTACAAAATATGCCTTGTAAGGTATCATTTGAAAACTAATAACTTGCTGGTCAATAATATTATGGTGAAATGTGTGTAGCAACATTATATGTAAAGTTATGAGTATAAGATGAAATCATGACTGAAGTATGTTTGCCAGACAAGTCTGGTATGTGAGTAAGCCTGTTTTCCCAAGACAAAGGCAAGTTGAGGCCCCTAGTCAGGTGTCATCAAAGCTGATGGGCCATCACCTATCAGATGGCCATTATTTGGCAAGGGAAGAGGGCAGGAACAAAGAGATCTACATTTTCGCCAACAACAGCATAAACAAGTGAAAAGAAACAGCATGAAGCCTCCATCAGACTCCATGTCTCCATGCTCTCAGCGAGAAAGAATTTTAACTAGGGGTCACACTCAGGAAAGTGCTTTTCAAAGGGTGACTCAACTATAAAAGTGAGGGGCAAAACCACCCCAAGTTATCTTTTCCTGTCCCTCGGTCTCTTGCATCTAAGAGGACCTTGGGAGCAGATTCTTACCTGAAACTTTGTCAGCAATGCCACTGAAAACCTGTGGTAAGAATGTCACCTTGAATAAAGTCTAGTTCGTTAAGTTTAGTACTAGAAAACATAATATCTTTATTTTTCTTGTAAACATTTTTTATTTGATGCCTTAATACTTGTACTCACTTAACACCTATCTCTTTGTAATTAAATAAACTTGTTTTATTGTTTAATCAAAACTAATCCAGTGTTGTGAACTGTGTGGACAATTCCATTGAAAGTGGCAAATTGTTGTATATTGACCCCTTAGAAAGGCAATGGACCTAATATATCTGGACTATGCATTAGAGGGCTTGACAGTGCAGAGCAGACATGTTTTGGGAAAATCTGGGAGTGGGTGGGGTAATTCTGCATATGGTAACCAAGGCTGGTGGAAGCCAGAGTGTAACTGGTGTGTACTGACAGGTTGTAGGTGTCAGAGCTGCTGAACCAAGGCAGTAGCTGTAGACAAAACTCCAGGTGTGATCTGCTTGCTGGCAGGCTGTTTCTGAGTGACCCAAGTTGGAAGCTACCTCCGCAAAGCATTGTGAGACACCCAAGGTGCAGGGCAGTGGTGAAACAGCCCCTCAATAGTACTGGATTGCAACCTGGAATGTCCTAGTTACCCATGACATAATAAAGAGGGTAGCAAGATAGTAGGCAGAGGGTTTAGGGAAGAAGAAGAAGGGTAACCAGAATGATGACATGGTTATTTGGCAAGCATAGCATGGAGGAGCAAATATACTTATTTTAAACAAAATAAATGGATGTTTTAGTCATCTAATATCTCATAGGGGTTGGTGCAGAGTGAATCTTAAGGAGGAACTTGAATGAGGAGAAGGTAGTGGATCAATCCAGGGCATTGAAGGTGAGGACTAGAAGTTGGAACCTGATATGTTGGAGAAAGAGGAGTCCCTGAAGGGATTTAAAGAGGGAGGGACCCTCTGGTTACATTGCTTGGTAATAAATATGATATTAAGATTGGAGGTGTGACTTAATAGCATACTTCCCAATTTCAGTATTCATCTTTAAAAAACTCTCCAGTTGCCTCAGGCAGTGCCTTAGGGACAGATCATGCACTGGATGAGTATGAGCAGACCTTTGTGCCCATATAGAGCAACATGGGCTTCA